CTGTAGGAATGGGGGAACAGGGATTCTTGGGGCTATGCCCAAACAGGGAAGACAACAGATATTGAGATATTTCATTAATCTAATAATAAAAGATGCTCTAAGTAAATGTGAAATCCCAACTCCCAGAATCTATGGGACCGTTTCTATATTAGTAAGTGAGTTTATAATAAAAAATTTGTCAAGGTTGCAAAATAAAGATTTTTTTTTTTTTTACAGTGATTATTCATTTTTTATGTTTAATATGCATTTATATGAATGTTTTATTGTCAAGAGGGGCACAATTAATAACCACAAGGAATGTTAGAGAATAAGAGTAGAGGTATAGTTCAGAGACGAGCTAGTTCATGTACAAGTACGTAGAAACAAATTTTGGTGGTCCGAGGCCAGCTAATTTATTAAAAGGTAAGTTTAAAAAAGCACAGAATGACTTTTGTCATTATTTTATAGCTAGAAATTGTGGCACTCCTCAGAACGGTGGTCCCAAATTAAAATCACAATACTTTTCGTTAGCAAGTGCCCGGCAACCAGCCTAATAGCCGTCATAATTTCTGACATAACTGTTAAGTATTACCAACATTTTTTATTACCAGGTTACAAGCGCTGGTTCATATTTCAAATAATGTTCTACAGGGAAACATTCTGGAAACTTTCGTCACAACGTCGATGGCACTGTATGCTGTCATGCATGCTTTGATTAGTGTGGGTTGCTGAACACAGTCTAACACAAAACAGCAATAGCTGCAGTAGCTGTCAACGTCCCATGTCTTTAGTCCGATACCTGATGGTTACTCATGGATATGCCGTCAATGCAATATGAGATGCACTTTACGCACTAGGTCATTTTTTTCAAACTGTGGGCTTAGCACACAAAATATTGTCATGATGATATACTATTGGATTTACTGGTTAAAAAGGAAGCAATTTATGCTTTTCGAAAGCATTGAAAATTGGGACACCATTGTTAACTACAATAACTTTTCGCACTGAGTGTCGCAATTTGTTTCAAGCCCAACGAGTTCAGCTTGGGGGCTTCGATGCCACTGGTCAACCTATTTAAGTTGAGGTTGACAAAACATGTTACTTTCATCGGAAATATCATCGTGGTCGTCGCCGCCGTGTCACTTGGGTTGTTGGAATTGTTGATTGTGTTACCGGCTGATGTTGATTGGAAATTGTAGGGCGAAGAAATACGCCAACACTTGAACGCATTATAAGTTAATGTGAAAGCCAAGTGAACCAATAATTAAAGGGATGGGTAAATGGAGATATTAGAATCAGGGGTTCACAACCCGACGAGATGGTGACGGAGGAAAGAAATCATGAGTTTAAGAACTTAGCTGAACTGCAGTAGATCACTTTTGGTGGAGAACTCTGTTGAAGAACAGCGAGAGTTTCGTCGTAAGGTAAAATTGTGAGAGTGCATCATAGTTGCAGAGAACTAAAGATCAAAGATAGCTGCCTTTTACCTGATAGCTGCAAAACCAGTAAAAGAAGAAATAATTTTTTTTATTCAAACAAAAGTATAGGTGAAACAGAGCTCAGGGCATAAAGGTTTTCTACAATGGTGGCAGCAGTGAGATTGTAACCTTGCTACGACTCCGAAGAGAAAATAATTTTCTGTGTATGGTATGAGAAGTACAAGTTTTGGGAAAACTATCACAAGTACAAAAGGTTCAGTACTTAAATATATGCTCACAACCTACAGTGAAAATTCTAATTTGTAGCATATATTTTGTTGAATTTGAATTGTGTACTAAAATTTTCAAGTGGTGCCAAGCTTCTTTATCTTGGGTTTTCATTGAAAGATGCCTCTGCTGAATTCCCACAGTGAGCTAAGCAAACCTGAGAGGGAGGCAATACCTTAAAGATGCCCTGGGGAAAAAAAAATACTTCTTTTTCTTTAGCTGGGATTGTGTATTATATTACATGATCCGATTCATAGTAGTGACATGCAACTTTCCTGACAAAATATACAACATGCTTCATAATGGCTCCCCATTCAAAGTCAGGCCATTAATTGGGACCTTTTTGTATACTGCACATATAATACATATAACATAGTGTCCTTTAACACCTTAACAATTACAAACACTATTTAAGTGTTATGTTTAAAGTGCAGCTTATCTCAAACTTCAATTCATTAGATTCCATTCTTCTGGTTGGAATTAATTTATATTGCATGTCCTGTACAAATGATACATGTAACTTGTCTCCAGCTAAAAGCAATGATAGATGGAAATCAAGAGTAAATGAAATTTTCGTCTACATCTTTAAAAACTTTCAAATTTTTACAGGATAGTTAAGTTTTGATGCCGACTGAAGGAAGGAACAAAGATTAATTTAAGGAAAAAGAATAGTACCACATGTAATTATAAGAAAGAAATACAGGTTCTTAAAGGAATGACTAGAAAGAAACGGATCAATTAAATTGTCTAATAGACGACATAACTGGTCAATTTAATCATTTAAAATGGTTGTCAGGAAAACCAAAGAGGTCCCATTGACTGCTGCTGATTACTTGTCCCAATTTTGAGATTGTATCTCAGCAGACAAAAGTGGCTTAGATGACTTAGAGTTGGGCATCTTGGCTAAGTTTCAAGAGGAGGCCTTTGCAACCCACGACAATGTGGCACTGTCATGGTACCCATTCACATCAATGACATTCACATATTCAGTTCACACACAATAAATCTTAATTGAGACATTGGCCAGTAGATTATGTAGATCACATTAGCAAACTAGTGAGGGATGCAACTTCCCAATATGCAACATGCACTAGCCTTCGTGAGGCTCAGACAAGATTATTCCGTAAGAGCCTCAAAAATAAAGTTACAACCAACAGAAATTAACATGTTTATGGCTTTATTATTGGGATTAAAGTTGATAATTGGCAAAGTAAATCCGTCTCCGTTGATTTGCAAGTGCTGAGTAAAAGGCCTTTTTAGACAAAGAGCAAGAAATGTCATTTTCCCATTGCTGCTTTTGGGAATGATTTTAATGTATTTAAAATTGTGTAGATGTATAAGGCTGAAAACTTCGGGTAACCCGCATTGCTATATAATAATTTTAAAATTTTTAAAAAAAATTTTTTTTAAAAATATGACAGACAAAAAAATATGACAGACAAAAAGTTATCCAACAAAAAGAGCAGAGGATGAACAAAACTTTCTGTACAATAATTAATTCTTTCATTTTATGCATTGTTTCTTTAGCCACATTAAAACAAGGTGGGGTAAGAAGAAACAAGATGTTTTGAGGTTGTTAATGACAACGATGGCGTCAATAAGTGAATACTTTCACCTCCTTATCCAACAAAGAACTCATTCAGTGCTAGGCTCATCACAGCCACTAGTTTGTAGAGAAGGAGACCACAAAAAGATGAAACTATTGAATAAATTGCTTTTGTTATGGAGTCTTATTCTGATTATGGCCTAAAGACATCTGCAACTAGGGTTATTACTTCCCTTGTCACCCAGAGTTATCTTTCATACGAAGGAGTACCGGTACAAAAAAAGATTCTTCACATGACGAATACAGCATTTGAGACCTGGCGAGTTGAAGAAATAAAGAAATTTTTACGGGAATTGCATCAGTCAGAATCTGGAAATAAAACAGAACTTATAGCACTGGGTTTTGTATTTTGTAGCATTGCGGATTTGTGAAAAAAGAAACCGTAAAGACAAACTATTCCATCGTCCAAACTTTGATAAACTAACAACTCCAGGAGCGAAAATACCAGTTGAAAATACCTGTTGCTACATTTTTAAAAGACTGGCTGATGTTGGAGGCAATGCCTTCAGATGTCAAAGATAGAGATGTCTACAACTACGTTGTGCTTAGCAGGTAAAATGTATACCCAATTATTTAAAAATCGCTCTGTAATGTTAAAGAGCTGCTAGTAGTGCTATAATTATTTACAATAATACTGTACTAGTACTAGTCTACATAAGAAAGACATGCAGTATAGCATTGGCCTACTAACTAAGACTAACCCTACATGTATTAATAATAACATAGTTTAGACTATTGTATTTAAGATACTGAAAAAATTATTAAATAATATTTGACAGTCTACAGACACTCAGTTTTATCATTATAAAAAAATTGCCTACCAGACAAGTACAGTATATATTTATAAACTAGTAATAGGCTTTAACAGGCCTAACATTATTTGTGTTTACAAAATCCAATTATCTATTTAATTATTCAAGTCAGTGTACAAAATTACACATACAAACTTTCTCTTCTCATTTAAAATTTAGGATATGTAATTTAAGTAGTTATGTTTAATTGTTTGCCACAAATGAGTATCAGCAGTACGGGTTGGTTGTATGGCTCTTTGCTTTTCTTAACATTTGAGGACTATAGTAAATACTGTCATAATTTCTTACATATTGTGAAATTGTAGGTCATTAAATTTTCTCCGTCATTTTTACAGATTGCAAACAACTGATAACAGAGAGATGGGAGCATCATGACAACTGAAGGGCAGAACTATGTTCCAAGAAGGACATGTGCAAAGCATTGCATGATCCTTCCTATCAGGTATATGATAATAATAATAATAATAATAATAAGGGACATTGCATAATACCAGTACATTATTTAAATATTACTACCTTAACAAATAGAATAAAACAGTTACTGTTTTTATAACAAGAAACAGTTTGAAAACAAAATAAAATATTCCATTGATGTCGTAACACTATTAAAATACCCTAATTGATAAATGTTTCAGGTAACATTTCCAGAGATGATTGTGACCATTGTTTTATCAAAGCCAAGGTCATGCCATCTTTGCCAAGTATGGGGGTCTCTAAGACACCTGATCACACTACATGGATCTGTTTAACATTATCCATAAATACAGTTTCATTGTTTAGGTTATCACATAAATGTTTCAGTTTTATGTAAGTAATTTTTTTTTTTTTAATTATTTACAGAGAAGGGGGATCTTGTAATCACGTGGCTGCCACACTCCACAAAGCTTCATACATTTAATTTGTGAAAAGAAAAAGAATGGTCTGACAGCATGCACATCGCAACCTTGCATATGGAGTGTTCCAAAACGTTTAAGGCTTATCAGCCCCAAAAAAAAAGTGACAGAGATACCACTTCGCCCACTTAAGCAAGTAGTACTTACTTCTCCAATTGTTAATTTTTTTGGCCTGCATCACAAGCTATCCTTGGTGGAACCTAATTCAGTCTATGTGTTAAAAATAGCTCAGAGTTTCATGACAAAGCATTTTTGTTGCCTGATGTGGAATATTAGGGCCTCTACAGACCTGAAAACAAAAACCTGTAAGGATATTTTTGAAAAGTATTTACCCAATCTTCCCAGTTTAGACATCACTGGGATTGAAAGAGAAACTAGAGGACAGGCAGGCAATCCCCTGTGGAAAGCTATTCGCCAGGGTCGATTGACAAGTTCAAGTTTTGGACAAATATATTATTATTATTATAGAAGGGATAAAACTGTAGTAGACAATATTTTAAAAGAGGTATTGGGTTACCACAGTGGTCATATTTAAAGCATCACTTGTTTTGTTTTGTATAAATATAATAGTCTTAATATCTGTATTAATGGTGTTTTGTTTGTAATCTTATTAATTAATTAACATTGCATTACAATTTTAAATTTATTTTTTTCGTGCTTATTATTACTGTCCAGAATATATAACGTCTCTTGATTGATATGTTATAACATTGATTTACAGTAGGAAACTGTGTGTATATACTTTTTATTATTGTAACATATTATTGATTGTGTCATCAGATTTATTAACAATTTTCTTATTATATCAGTATACAAAAATAACTAATTAAATTAATCAAAAGTATAAGAGAAACAAAAACATAACATAGAAAAATGGCTGAAAATATGGAAATATTAAACTAAAGGTAGCAGAACAGTTAGGAATTGTCCAGACAAACATGCAGAATTTGTCACTAATAAATTAGAAAAGCAAAGAGAAGACAGATTAGCTGCTAGGAATGCTCTGAAAGGAGAAAAAGGAAGAGAAGCAAATGAAAAAGAAAAATAAAGAAATGCTCAATTGGAAATGAAAAGAATAGAATTAGAAACTGCTAGACTACAAGCTGGCAATGAAACAGAAATAGTGACCATTCAAACATATACAAACCCAAATTTAGAGACTTTTAGGAAAAAGAAGATATTACTAGCTACCTGACTCAATTTGAAGGGATATGAAAGACTAATAAATATTCTGAAAATTTATGGCCTGACATCCTAATAAGCAAAATTATTGGAAAATGCCTCAATTTAATTAGCTCTTTATCAGAGGCACGGAAGAAAAATTCTGAATGTATCAAGGCTGCACTACTCAAATACTTTGGACGATCAGAGGATGATTACTGCAAATTATTCCATTCAATCAGGATTGATAGAACTTCAGATCCCCATACCACACTATTCAATATAAAAGAGATAGCTATAGCTATAGCTGAGATAGATATAACCAACCACTACTGGACATGTTTTTGGTGGATAAAGTTCTACGACATTCATCTGAACCATTGTTCCCATTTTTAAAAGAAAGGAAAATTAAAACAGAAAAGGACCTGGCTGCTGCTATCTGCACATTTAAGGATGCACACCCAAATGAAACACTTGATCGTAGACCAATAGCCGCAGTAGCCATAGAGAGTAAACCAAGTGCAAAATCCTGGAAAAACCAAAATCAAAGTAATAGATTTAGTAGCCTACTAAAGTATAATAAAAACAATTATAATACATACACAAATTATGCATCCCACAATGCATGTTTTTATTGTGATAACTTAGGACATAGGAAGTCAGAGTGTAGGAAATTACAGAGGGAAATGATCTATAAAAATAACTTAGAACTTCACCAAATAGCAGTCCAAATAGGAGCAACAACAGAGAACCATACAACAATCAATTCAGAAGCAGGGAAAGACAAAGAAACAACAATAGATACCAACCTAGACAACAGAATTACTACACAAGACAAAATAAAAATAGACCTGGGGAAACTATAGCAGCAGCATGCCATACTGAAGAAAAACTCTATTTTTTTCCAGCTTTTATAAACAACAACCTTGTACAATGTCTTAGAGACACAGGCTGCACAACATTTGTGGTCGACTCAAGATTTTTGTGAAGTCATGCACTTATATTAAAGAAATAACAAAAGTAACCCTGTCACAACAAGACAAAAAATAAAGGAAGGAAAGATGAACAAAGTTATCCCAGAAGAAATAATTGATGAAAACAACCTATTACTATTGATGATTTAATCAAACTGCAAGAAGAAGATATTGAAGTACAGAAAATCAAACAAAAGATGCACACCAAGGGAGCACCATTTAGAGGTCACCAATAAATATTATATAAAAAAATTACTCATTCAGTAAAGGACAAATGAACACATCTCAAAAATAGTTATTCCTGGCTTCTTAAGAAAATTAATAATTAAAACAGCACATGATAGCCCGCTAGCTGGACACATGGGAATCAAGAAAACCATGAATAGAATATTGCACATTTTCTGGCCTGGTATTAAAAAGGATTTAAAAAGTAATATAGGTAAATGTCAGGCTTGCCTAACCAAAAATCCAATTCATGGCAAACACAAGGCTCCTATTCAACCCACAGAAACAATAGGGAGAAATTTCAAAAAGGTAGCCATTGATATAATTGGACCTATCAGTACACATTCAAGCACTTCAAGCAAAGGACATAGGTTCATACTGACATTAATAGTTTAAAGAAAATACTGACATTAATAGTTTAAAGAAAATACGGACATTAATAGTTGAAAGAAAATATTTTAGGAAAGAGCAACAGCAGAAGATTCTTTTGATATAATTACCAACATAAGAGAAAATAGTATATGGACTTCAAAAAGCTAAAGAAAACACCGAAAGAGAGGCAAGAAGACCAAGAAATATTAAAAACACACACATATACTTAAAAAATGTAAAAGACAAAGACATAGTTTATGTTTGGTTACCAAATAGATTAGGAGAAAAAAATCTGGAAAGGACCATATATAAGGCATAAGAAATTAAATAAAGTAGACTATGTCATTGATACAAATGGTGAACTGAAAGTCTTACACATAGACCTCTTAAGGCAATATGACAACTGCCATGAAAATATAAAAGAAATTGCTGATACAATCAATGCAATCCCTGAAGGCTTGGAAAATGAAATAGTTGCTACTGTATTGCATATACAAGATGAAGACAGTATTGAGACTCCAACAATGAAATATCAGAAAGAATTTAATGAATTACCTTCTCAATTCAAGGATGTTATCCCCTTTGATATAGGTCACACAACATTAGAACACAACATAGAAATAAACACCACAGAAGCAAAATTTAAACCAAAACAATATGCTGTACCATACGCATATAGAGAAGCGGTAAGAAAGGAATTAGATCAATTATTTTAAAGTGTTTTGTTTCTTAACTAGTATTTATTTTATTTTCTACCAGGTCTATGGAGACTGGTTGGGTTTTAGTTTTAGTTTTAATCTAGTTTTAGTTTTAATCTAGATCTAGTTTTAGTTTTAGGAGTCATGGATATTCGGAAATTTTTAAAACCTCTCAGACAGTCACAGCAATCAACTCCAGATGTTGAAGAAATAACTCCTGTCTGCAAAAAACGGAAAACGGATGCTGTTGCTTGTTCATCTGCAGCAGCAACGCTATCACCAAAACCAGACCCTGACAAGCTTGAAAGTGGAGATACTAGGTTAACCTATGACATTGGACTCTATGTAAAATCTACTACGAAGATTCCTATAGATCTTAAGTATCATTTGCTAACTGATCCATACATGCCTCATCCGTCATATGATTTTGCGAAGGCAACATGTCTGGAAGTGGAAAACATTTCAGGGAATCTTGGCTGACCCAGTATACTCCATGGTATCATATTCACCTAGGTTAAAAGGTGCTTTTTGCATTTTCTGTGTTTTATTTTCCACAAACAGTTCAAAGAGGATTTCAAGGTGCCTTCATTACTACTCCTTGTACAAAGTACAAAGATTTTAATGAATGTGCCAGAAACCATATCAGATCAGCATGGCATCGTGGGTCTCAACAAGATGCTGAACACTTCGAGTCAACCGTTTGAGATCCAAATAAGGATATTATTTGTCAGATAGATAATTCAGTAAAACGAACTATTGACGAAAACAGAAAGAAACTGTATACTATTATTTCAACAACATTATTTTGCGGAACAAATGATTTGGCAATTCGTGGGAAAGATAGCACCAAAGGAAATGTCGAACAACTTTAAGGATATTATTTGTCAGATAGATAATTCAGTAAAACGAACTATTGACGAAAACAGAAAGAAACTGTATACTATTATTTCAACAATATTATTTTGCGGAACAAATGATTTGGCAATTCGTGGGAAAGATAGCACCAAAGGAAATGTCGAACAACTTTATGCATATCGAATTGAGGGAGGAGAAAGTATTTTAAGAAACCATTTTGATACAGCTGCTGAAAATGCACGTTACACATGACACCGAACGTAGAATGATTTGATCAACTTGTCTGAACAAGCTTTGCGAGAAGACACTCTAAAAGCTGCCAACAATGCTGTTGGTTTCTCGATCATAGCCGATGAAACAGCAGATATCTCAGGAACAGAACAGTTGTCACAGGGAGTCTGGTTTGTAGATACGTCTAGTGAGAAGGCTATGATTCGTGAGGAATTCCTTGGATTTTCTCCACTGAAAGATATGGACGCCGCCACGATATCTGATTGTATTATTCAATATTGCAAAACATTTGGTCTTCTTCTTAATAATCTGCTGGGTCAAGGTTATGATGGGTGCTCGACGATGGCCGGAAAAGAAAATGGTGTTCAGGCAAAACTTCGAAGTATTTCCCCCAAGGCTGCCTTTGTTCCCTGTGCCTCGCATAGACTGAATCTCGTAGTAAATGATCTTAATAATGTTGCAGTGATACGAAATACTATTGGTACTATCAAAGCAATTATTACATTTTTTCGTGAAAGCCCAAAAAGGAGGTCCTCTCTCCCAAATATTCCTCTTCTGTGTGAGACAAGATGGACAAGCCCAAAAAGGAGGTCCTCTGTCCCCAATATTCCTCTTCTGTGTGAGACAAGATGGACAAGCAAGTATAAAAGTATTCGGATTTTTTCTAGTAAATTTGAAGATTTTTATTGTCAACTAGAAGAATTTTCATTGCATGCAAGTGGAAATACACGACAGGCTGCACATCAGTTATATTGTTCATCAAAGTCCAGCACCTTTTTATTTTGTGTCAATATTATTTCGCAGTACTCTGCCATACTGGAACCAGTTACTCAGGCTCTTCAAGCTGTTGATCTTCCAGAAGTCCAACTGCAAGTTCAAAACTTGCTCAGTGTAGTCAAACTTGACCGAGGGGATTCCGATAACTATTTCAAGGGTATTTTTGAGAAAACAGTACAACTCGCACAGAAGGTGGATATTGAACTGATTATCCCAAGACAGTGTGGAAGACAAAAGCATCG